TGTAAGAGTGAGCTTAAGGTGAAATAAGCTTTTCCCACATCTCTCACACACACACACACACACACACACACACAAATGCAAACACAGCATCCACCCTCTCGCTCACACACACACAGACGCACCTGCATGCAAACAAACGATAAAACCTCATAAGTGTACAAGGAATACATTTGTCATTTTTGAAAATATGARTTAACCCCATGAGCTCTGTGTAAACATACAGTAGAATAAAGATTTGCTTTCYTTTGGAGCTCCCTGTAACATTCGGACCACCTGCCCTTTTTTTTTTCTCCGTAGCATTAACCTTGTTAAACACTTGGACTCTTTGGTTCTCTGTAACAGTCTGTTTTATCTTCGTGTGTGACTGACTGAGGGGCTCCCTCTGTCCCTTTGTGTTTCCCTCCCTCTCAGGTTAGCAGGAGGAGTACGAGGGAGTAGATTCACAGGTCCTGTCSCTCTGCTCCCACAACCTCCCCCCTCCCCCCACAAAAAATAAAATAAAAAAAGGATTGATTGTCCTTGATTTATTTACATCACAGTCAGACACAGGGGGGGGCGGGGCTTCTAGAAGTGGAAGAGCACGTTCTTGTCTCGCTCCCCTCGTTTTCTCCTCACTCTTTTTTGTGTGTTCCACCCCTCACAAGCCTGGTGTGTGGGGGAATGTTGGCCTGAGATTTGTGTGTATGCGTGTGTGTGTGAGTATGTGTATTCGAGGGGTGTTGAGAGGCTAGGATAAGTCATTGTTGCTGGGTGTTTTCCCTCCGCCGTTGAGAAGGGCCGAGGCGCTGCGGCTCTTGGTCGGCGTGCCGCTGCCCGAGCGCGAGAGTTCTGTCAGGTCATGGAGGGACGGCTCCCTGTACATGGCCACTACACACACACACAAACACACACATGAATTATTAATTCAGTTACAGAACCACTCGGGTTTGACATCATAAATGGACTGCATTTACATAAGCTTTTTCTGGTCTTATCGACCACTAGAAGCACTTTACACTTCTTCACACGTGCACAGTGAGGGAGGTTAGTCTGCAGCACAAGAGYTGTGTTTAATCTCCAATTTTCATCTGATTCATATCAGTCTAAGAGCATTACATTACAATCTCCTAAGCATTAATTGGTGTAATGTAAGAAATTAACAAGGAAAGCACCGTTTCATTAAAAAAGGATCCATTAGTAAACAGTTGCTCAGTTAGACGCTTAGCGTTTGGTTTCGACTCGTGTTTGCGTCCGTTTAATGAATTTAAATCCAATATCCACTCTCCCTCCCCGCTTTGTCTGGCTCTCCCCTTATCCCTGCGGGAAATAAATCACTCTCCGGCTAACTTTGTGCGGCTGCCGCTTTGTCCGAGTCAGGCGGGTTTTTACAGCCCTTTCATTGCCCGCTGCAGGCGTCGAGCTAAATCAGCCACGTTGCAAATCAGACAACCAGAGACTGACAAATGCTAACCYCTGTCTGCTGGGTTTCCTTTTGCTCTGGGAGGATCTGTTGCAGTCGGGGTTCATTTTCTGTTTACACATCGCCACGTTGTGGCAGAAACAACTGCTCTGGTTGATATGATGCTGCTTTTGCACTCGTTTTTCCTCGTTCCTGAACACGACAGCACGCCGTGCAGAGCGTGATTCAGAAATTCTTCAAGAGGAAAGCGTTATCTGAAAGTCACGTCATTAGGAAATAGCAAAATATCCAACAATGATCTGAGAGACGGATCATCCTTCAGCTGGTCATCAACTTTAAGCCAATTTTTTTTAGTTAATGTGTCTGTAAACTGCCTGAATGATACTGAAATATTAAGTGCTTTAACTAATGAACAAAAATGTCTTTTTGAAAAGAATCATTGCTGAATTAAAAATGAGCACAAAAGCAGTCAAATTCCTAAGACAAACATTATTTTTTCTGAGGTTCTGGAGACATGAAAAACCTACTAATCTAAAATGCAAATGTGACCATATAGTGAATAAACATGTTCAAAACGTTTCAAAACTGTTTCCATGTGAAACACTTTTATCCATGTCGATGATAAGCTGCCCACCACTATAATAATTAATGCAATGTTACATTGCATTAATTATTTTTTTTAATATTGTTTTTGTCCATGTCTAATATGCTATTGCTGGAGTTCTTCGGTGTGGGCGGGGTTTATGTGATTGGTGGAGTTTGGGATACAGGTGGAGGTTCTTGAGTGGGCGGAGTCTGGCAAAACCGACTTGTCTTGTGCTGTTAGCGCCTTCCTGTCTTGATTTATGGTTAAAATGTTAAAATATGAGTGCTTTCTCTCTGTTTCAACCAGCTGCCCCTAGCTTCTTCAAACCTCACTCAAAATAGTCAATACAACCAATCAACAACCTACGCCCACAAAAGTCAAATAGACCAATCATTTCTTGGACAAACGCCTCCCACAACAAGAACCTCCCACTTTCCCAACATTTCCCATGAATCACTGAACAAATCTGAACAAAACTTTCAGAAAGTGCTGGATGACTGATTACCTTTTACAGTCAACCAACTTGAAGAAGGCTGCCACAGCTAATCAATGTTAGCATCAAAAAGTGGACGTTATTCAGTCACTTTTACAGATACGGAGCTAAACTTTGACTTCTCAACACATCCTCAACATTTATTAAYCACTAAAGTCTACCTGTATAATAATAAAATCTTGTTTAGGCCTGTTAGGATTATAGCAGAAGCTGATATCTGCCACCTTGTCTGGTTTTCTGCTCTGACGGTTGTTTTTCACTGAATCACACTGAATCACATTAATTATCACTTTCCTCTTCTCACCTACAGTCCATGACGTCTCACTCTGACCTTTTACTTCTGTTTAGGTGTTTTTTTCTGTGCAAAAATCTAATTTTATGAACTGACTTTATACAACTTTGCCACCAGCACTCACTTATATTTCTGTCTGCTGTATTTATTTTTGTTTTGCATTTTCTTCTTGCAAGACAACACACTTCGTTTTCTGTCCCATCTGTCTCTCCCCTCTACTTTATTTTTTTTTTTAGAAACAATTAACTACAAAAATAAAAAAAGAAATCAATGTTTCATTTTCATCCGGCTCTGTTGATTTACTTTCTTGAAGGACTTTTCGAATGATTTCTGCTTCACCTGACAGTTCTCCTGTTTTGATCAGGCTCTCTGTCAATAAGCGACAGCTCATTAAGGGCCACAGAAACTCTACATGCTGCTTCCACTGAGACAGATTTCCTTTAATCTTCTAAAATCAGCTTGAGCCCATGCAGGAAAAAAAAACACATAAATTGACAGCATTCCTTGAAGAACGGCCTGGACAATAAAATGAACTTTTAATTCAGCTCTATGAGCTCTTTTGCAAGTTATAGACCATTGATCTATATTACTGGATTGGACATCGCCTATAGCCGCTGTAGCTAGCGACGCGCCGTCAAAGGAGCCATTGTTATGCATTGAGTCATGTCAACAAAATGGTGGAGTTTCATAACGGGACAGCGTCAATCTGTCACAAAAATATTCATAGCACATTCATTTCTTATCCGATTTCTATAAAATATGGCTTCAATTAAAGCTGAGAAAATTGC